CTTGGCACCTAACCTCCCCAAAGACACTTGCTGAAGAGATCTGTCCCCAATAAACAGACTCCGGAGAGGGCTAAGAATGAGAAGTCCAGCTGTCCCCAGCTCCTCATATTGCTGGAGTCCGTGTTAATTAAATGCTTTCTAAAAACCCTTCAAGCAAAGCTAGGAAAGTGATGTTGAAATCATACTCAATAGCTCCAACATATAAAAGAGAAATCTTTTCTTTTGCCAATATGGAGGGGGGTCCGATTCAGAACCCCATGTTTGCTAAGAGCCCCCCACCTGCCAGGAAAATTGTCAACACCAGGCACACACGATATAAAGTTTCAAGAATCAGAAAGTAAGTGTCCAAGTAAAAACTCAGCTAAGTGAAGCATGCGTGAGAGCCTGGGCACACACCCTCGGCACACACCCGTCCTCATGCTGGTCGGTCTTGGCTTCCCCACGTTAATAACCTTGTCCTACCAGAGCCGACAGGCAGGACGGTTCTGGCACTCCTTTTTTGGGAATGACTTCTGAGTTGGCTTCCAAGACAGAAGAAGAACACCTATATCTCCACTTGGTTAACCTCTTGATTTTTTCCTCAGATAAACTACGTGTCTTCTTTTAGACTTGTCTACAAACGATTTAAAAGGGACAGCAGCCAACTGCCAGTAAGATATTCACAAACCCATGAGGCAAGAAAGGAGTCAGCTCCTCTTTCTTACACTTGTGCTGAAGTCACTAAGGGTTGTGACGGTTTAGTCCCCTGCAGAGCTAGGTGTGGCCGTCTGAGCACTCCAGGGAAGAACTGCATGACTTCAACATTAAGTGTTCATATTACATCTCATGGCGGGGAAGGGGGGGGGGCGGCAATATCTTAGGGACTGTCATACTCCCAAATGTACTTCTCAAGATCTCATGGTAAAACATCTCAAACATGGCCAAAAGGAGGAAGGCTAGTGAATGAAGTTAGTCAGAAAGCTTCAACCAATGACCAGGCAGTCAGTTTGTCTTCCAAGCTCCCACTCAGTCCCAGCCTCTAGTCACAGTTACGCTGCAGCGAATGGTACACCATCTCCTTCTCAAATAGTTCCAAACGGATCTCTGGGTGATAAGCAATCTTCTGAAAACAGAAGCATACTATTCTGGTCAGAAAAGTCAAAATTGCTTAATAGCATCAAGTTTCCAGCCAATAAGGACGGGACCTAGCGTAAATTCAAGAAGTCAAACACCAGGGGGGAGAAACTCTCCCTCTCAGGTAAAATACTCAAAACTCGTTGTCAACGACCCCCACCCACCCATAAAAAGTATTATCTTTAAGTAGACAATGAAAGACTTGGGGCTTGGACAGGGGACCGAGAATGGCATGCTAAATTTGTGAGAAGCTTTTTCCTTAGCTGGTAGCACCAAGTGTCAAGAAGCCCAAGACTGCCTGCCCTTGGTTATGGCTATGTGTGTTTAGTGCCATTTAACACTGCCAGGAAGGATTAGTAAACTAAGTAAACAAATCCACCTAAAATAACTTTGAGATCAAATGAATTCAGCTCAGCGTGTAGTGAACATATACTAGCAGCAAGGTACTGGGTTATGTGTTCATAAACAGAGAGCTGACCCAGCGACTTTACCGTCAAGAAGGAAAAGAGATCCAAACAATTATGCAAAGTGGTTATAGGAAGGGAGGAAAAAGTCATTGGCTAAATCGTATCATTTTCACATAGAATACAGACCCAGAAAACGGTGCTAATTGGAAGGGTGGATTGAGGGTGCTGGCTGGTTCCCACAATGCAGACCCGTTAGAGGTGGCCAACGATGGCAGCAGTAACCATGTCAACTGTCAGTGCCATGCCTTTGCAAAGACTGTACATCCCTGTCATGGTCTAAGGGTCTGTACTTCCCTTACTGAGTGAGGTAAAACACATTCCAGCTGGAGAAAAATACTTATAAACCCAAAGAAGAGAAATTCCCATAAAGAAGGAGAAGGGAATGGGTGAACCAGACAGAGGATTCCAGGAAGAGAAAGGAGAAACAAGGGGTGGGGATTACTGGCAGTTAGGGAACCAGCAGTGTGGTGACCTTAGGGCAGAGTGGGAGGAGCTGGCTGACTGGAAATGCCTGCTGGGACCCACTTGGAGCCTCCCTCATTGGCCGGTGAAAGGAGGACTCTGCTGGGTGCTTACTCAGCTGAGGGTGCCTTGAAATAGGCAGGTGGGAAGGGAGGCAAAACTTGGGGGAGCACAGCAGACACCAAGGGCACAGGAGGTGTAAGAGGTAACAGACAGGACAGGCTTGACATTTCAGAGAGTACGATGTTTACAAAGGTGAGGACGGAATAGGAGTCTCTGTCTCTGTCACACACACACTCCATTATGTAAAACAAAGTGTGTTAATAAAAACCCTGTAGCATAGACAGATATATGGCAAACAAACATCTCGGGAAGGCTTGGGTAAAGGAGGAGGCACCAGACAGAGGTGAAAAGGAGAACTGGACCTCTGGCAGATAGGATCTCATGAACGTCATACAAAACAGCTAGTCAGAGGGTATGTACTTCCCCGCTTCCCACCAAGCACACGGAGATGACCCAGAGCAAAGGGACAAAAGGCTGAGAACCTGGTGGCCAGGTTCTCCCAGCATCCCTCAGTCCCTACCAGGTACAGGGTGTGGCTGGCAGAACCTGCCCTCTACCCGGAATTCTTGTTTATATGATGGAGCCATTTTGGTTACCAGTCTCTCATTTACGGTTTGAGCTCCTGGCTGCTTCACCTGGTTCCCCTCTCTCCCATCTCCCCCCCCCCCTTGACCTGGCTCAAGGACACGTCCACTCTGGACTCTCCCTTTTATCTATATAACTTTTGTCCTCCACCATACCTAGGAACAGTCATGCCCTTCCTTTTTATCCCCCCCCCATTCAGTTTGGCTATGTGTTTTATTTTATTTTTTAACCTTTGAGACAGGATCTTACTATGTAACTCTGGCTGGCCTGGACTTAGAAAGACCTGCCTGCCTCTGCCTCCTGGGTGCTGAGATAAAGGTGTGCACCACCACACCCTACAAAAGGGTTTAAAGACAGATCAAAAAGGAGCTAATGCCAGATTCCCTATTTCCTAACTGTGGGGCTGAGGTTAAATTAACCTCCTTTAGCTGCTGTTCTTATCTTCATAAATGGAGACAGTACTGGCTAATTCAGAAACAGTTACTTCCTTATCAGCAGACTTCTTTGATGAGAACACATTTCATTAAACTATTTCTATTGCACAATGCTCCCTCTTACTGACACCCCCTCAGAACACTCTCCATCAGGTATCTGTTCCCCAAATCCCAGCTCAACACAGGATTTATCTAGATCTCTTTTAGATGGATGTTTTTCTTTGTCCTTAAATATCACCAATTTAATTAATTTAAAGGCGCGCATTCCGAAGACTAACCACCAGGTGCTACAGCACCACGCAAACACATCCGATGTGGCTATCCTTGGGGAACCGACAACCCCAGTGAGACAAACAGGTGTGACCTTCAAGTAACCATGGCCCAGATTTGGCACGAGAGATGGAAATACTGGCCGTTAGGTGTCCAATCCTGTCTATGCATCTGCTGATATGATATGCAGTCACATGGTGGGGTTACTCTCAGGCATTTTCTTAGCTATGTGGGCTCCTGTGGCAAATCCATCGCTAAGGCACAGCCCCACTGTGAGTGCTACCCAGCACTGGTCAGTCTCAGAAGCCCTACTGCTTGTTGGGACAGCTACCTCATTTTGAGAGCATCACCAAACAAAAGTTTCTTTGTTATACATTGAGATGAATAATTACCAACCATTTTCATGTGAGAATCTGCTCCTCCCACCCCAAGCTGGAGCTCTATGTGTCTGTGGGGGTTCGGGCGGGGGGGGGGGGGGAGGGAGGCAGCTGGAGTTTAGAAAATATTTCAGTTAAAGGCAGGGCATAGTGAACATCATTCCTAGATTTAAGCGTGAGTGCATTCGTCGAGCCAAATGAAGGTTGGAGAGCCAGAGGAAAAGGCATTTCACTTCCTAAACGATACTGGGGAAAGAAAGAGTGGTACTGGGGATGCTTAATAAAAAACCACCCACATAATTAATTATTCAAGTATTTCTCCCTAGCACAGTTGGGTCTTGAGGGGAACATCAATGTTAGTCTGTAGAGAAACAACAGGAAAACCAAGAGTCATTTCTGAAGAAGCTGTGATTGACGCTGTAAAACGCTACCTATATGCATCTCGGGGGAATGATTGCATATTTTAGCAAGCATGTCTTGCATCTGAGCCACAGAGAGGCGTACACTTTATTCACCCATTATCTACCTACGGTGGAAGCGCCAGGCTCCACACCACAGTTGAATGAAGGCTGGATTAAGAAGCTAATCTAAGGCTATATATAGACAGCAACACCAATTTTAATCCCCGCCCTCTCCACCCTCCCCTCCCTAGTTCCATAAATCGCCAAATCTGAGTTACAAAGACAGGCAACTCTCTCACAGCAAAGATTGCCCACACCCCAACGAAGTATTAGTGCAAGCGAAATTTGCTTCTGAATATCCTTAACAAACACCACGGGTCCAGGTTCTACGGCTTCCAGAGGCCCAGAGATATGACAGACAAGCAGTAGGGAGGCCGAGGTTTGGAAAAAGAAAATTACCTTCTCCGAGCCTCTCTCCCCATCACAAGCTCACCTCGCTGGCGCGGGCCTCCCTGGGGATCGCCACGCACGAGACCATGTGCACCCGCCACTTCCACCGCGTGGCCAGCTCGCGGCTCGCCCGCGGTCCCCGGGGCTCCTGGGGCGGCCAAACGTAGCGAGGTCGGGGGACTTCCTCGTGGGGCACCGATACACGGTACGTGCAGGGATGATGGCGCGGAGCGGGGGCTTCTCTACCAAGAGGAAGGCAACCGCCCCAGGAGGCACATGCTTCCTCCAGTCTCCAGCCCGGTGGGAGCCCCTGGCCGGGAGGAGGCTTCGACTCTTTCCACCCCTAGGCTCCCGCCACCCCACCTGGCCACCTCTTACCTGTCCAAGGAGGGAGCGACGACGCGCGAGACCGGTAGCTGCGGCGGATCCTGCAGCAGCAGTGGAAGTGGCGGCGGCTGAGGCAGACAATGGAGGAGTGAAGGACAGACACATTGACACAGACACACGGAACCCGACTTAGCTCCGCCTCCCGTCCAGGCCCCGCCCCGGCCCCGCCCCTCGCCCGAATCGCGTCACTCTAGGGGCAGTGTGTCTAGCGTGTCTAGCGGCATCCCGACGCCACTGCGCATCCTTACTGAAAGCCACTGCCAGGCAGAGAGGTACTTGATGTAGAATTCAAGGAACACTGTGTTCCAGTACTTCTTAATAGGTCAGCCTGGGGGTTGGAAACCCAGGCAATAAATTGAACCCCCTCCGGATGTTTCCTTTTGGTTTGGACCTCGTGAGCTGCTCCAATTGGAGTCTCTTGCTGCGTTTGCAGCTCGTCCTCCCGGCCGGGCCAATGAGGCGCGGGGGCGGTGCTTGCGGAGAGCGCCTGCCCGGCTCGCCAGAGCTCGCCGCACCCGCCAGCCCCCCAGCCGCTGGACCCTGGCGAGTGCCTCTGTGCTGGGCTGCTGCCCCGGCCTCGAGTTGCTCGACTGTGGAGGACTTCCACGACGCACACACACATCTTTCGCTTTTAAAACCTTAGCAAAGGAATAGAATAAGCTTCAAGCTGGCGGGAACGATGGGTCACATAAAGAAAGGCGAGCTGACCCAGGAAGAAAAGGAACTGCTGGAAGTGATCGGGAAAGGTACGGATGCAGGGGTAGTACCCGGGTGCTGTGCACCTGGTCGCGGGGCGTGGAGGAGCTTGGGGGCGCGCTCAAGGCCCGGGAGACCTTGAACAACTTGCGATCCGGAAAAGAAAGCTGGGGACCGATTGCACAGGGGAGGGGAATATAGGAGGCAGAAGCATTGCTGTGATCAGATCGAGGTTTAGATCTCTAAATCAGCTTTTTGGAAATGGACAGACTGCCAGTACCCCTCTGGGATTGTAACGCGGGGCCGTGAGGCGCTTGTCTCCGCGTGTGCATGCATGCCAGCTCCTCGGATGTTTTGACCGCAGTCGGACAGTGGCCTGGTAATTCTAGGCTCTTAGGCGGGTTGTCTAAAGGGCCCTTTCGACTTCCGGAGGCCGAAGGATCTGAATCCCTTGCGGATCCCCGCCCCTGCTGGAGGTGGAGGGCGCTCTCAGCTAGAAGGGTTCTTTATAAGGGCACAGAACTCGGTCTGAATGTGCCGCCTTGAGCTTTCTGCATCCAGGGCCTCTGTGGCTGGCTTCCTGAAGCCCGGGCCGGTGCAGTAACCCGCAGGAAAAGCCAGGAGGTGGGCCAGACGCTCACTGCCGCCATTGGTCGGGTGTTGCACGTTTGAGATCTGTTGTCGTGTTTCTTGTCGCTTGCTTTCCCTTTTACTTCGTGGATTCGAGTCCCGCCTCCGCCGTGCAGCTTGTAGGAAGGGAAGCCACCTAGGCCAACCAGAAGCCTTGTTTCCCCCCACTCGTCTCCGAGTGGACGTCCTAGACAAGTTCCCAGCCGCATTCCGTTACCTGTCAGGTGTCATTGGCTGGTCACGTGCACTGTCACTTTGCTGAGATGAGGGGGCTGCAGACGTGACTAACGCTCATGCTTTAAGTTCAAGAATTAAACATATGTCCTCGAAATGCAGAGAAGCCGGACATTTGTAACACGGGGCCCCTGGGTTTACAGTTTACGTAGCCAAATCCAATCCAGAACCACAGAGAGTAAGGCCAAGGCATTCTTTCTAAGAAGAGAATGAAAAGAGAAAACTATCATGTTTGAACTCGACAGGTGACTAGGAACTGATCTCGCATCTAAATCAGCCATGACTAGATTTTCAGGGTAATCGATATTTGCCTGAAATCTCAGAGCTCTGGGGTTGGATTTTCATTCTGTGACCTGCACGACTCCCAAATGACTTCTGTCTTTCTCTGCCGTCTCTGTGTTTCCGGGATTTAGTTGAGTGAACAGGAGCCCCAGCTACGTGCTGGGTACTGTACCCACCAAAAATAAGAGAGGACAGAGCGCATAATCCACCAGGGATGTTAATTCTGGTTTTAAACAGGCCAAAGGTATCACATGTTCACTTGAAAGTGAAAGCCAGTGAGCAGCTGGAGAAAATAAGGTCTGAAGGGGGAGGTGAAAGTTCTCGGATGTGCTCAGAGGTGTGAAAGGGTTTCTTCTAAAGGCTGCATCCAGCAGAAACAGTATGCGAGTCACTTGTCTTCTTGGGCCACCTCTTGCTCAAGGTTTGTGAGAACGCAGATGCTGGTGTTCACTGGTGTAATCTCTCCAAGCCAGCGAGTGCAGAACCAAGGAAGTTTTAGTGAGTGCCCTTCTGAGTACATGGCATGTACTCATACATTTCATCTAGAGGAGCTCAAGGTCTGTGCTTTGTTTTTCTGAAAACATCAGGAAGCATCGTGGAATGGTCATTAACTATGTGTCTGGGTTAGATTTTTGTTTGTTTGTTTTTGTCCATTTGACACAAGCTAGAGCTGTCTAGGAAGAGGAACTTCAATTGAGAAAATATCTCCAACAGGTTACAAGTCTGTGCCAGCATTTTCTGGATTAATGATTGATATGGGAGGGCCCAGCCCACTAGGGCCAGTGCCACCTTTGAGCAATTGGTTCTGGGTTTTACAAGAAAGCAGTGTAAGCTGTTGGGAGCAAGCCAGTAAGCAGCACCCCTCCATGGCCTCTGTATCAGCTCCTGCCTTCAGGTTCCTGCCTGGACGGAGTGTTTCTCCCTCCCTGAATTGCTTTGGTAATAATGTTTTATCACAGCAATAGAAAGCTAAGCAGGACACCATGGCAGTCCAGATCCCAACACCACCACCATTGTTTCCTGGTCTGTGGCCTTCTGCAAGTGTCAAGTTCTGTGGGTGTGTGTAATAATCCCTACTTCATACACTGTTGTAAGGATGAAGTGAGTTAGTACAGGTAACATGTCAACCACACCCTGCTGGCTGTGGTTTGGGAAAATATTTCCCCTTCATAGAGAAGGAAACTGCAGAGGGAGAACCTTAAGAAATCTACAGAAATCTACTGTTTCAGAGCACATGCTATAGCAGAGGTAGTAGAAGTGTCTTGATTAAAAAATATATATTTTTAAGACATGGTGTGTGCGTACATGTGCACTGTAGAGTGCAGGTACTTTTGCAGGCCAGATGGTCTCAGATCCTCTGGAACTGGGGTTAGTTACAGGGGGCTGTGAACCACCGGATGTGGATTCTGTGGGTGCTGGGAACTGAACTCAGTCTTCCACATGTGTAGTGTGTACTTCTAACTATGGGCTGACCTTCCAGCCTCCAGTTGTCCATATCTTAACATTTTCATAGCTTTATATCTGATGATAGCAGTTTATATCACTATCTGTTTTCTTTAAGGGTTAGGGCACTTGTGATAAAATCCATTCTGAGCAGACTAGACACCCCGAGTTTGGTTCCTGGAAACCACATAAAGATAGAGGGAGAACTGTGGTCTCCCTGGTTGTCTTCTGACCCCCACACACTTGTGTTGTGTGTGTTCTGACAAATAAAGCTTGCCTGGAGTTCAGAGGACAGAGCCAGCCACTAGTTAATCATAGAGGCCAGACAGTGGTAGCACACACCTTTAATCTCAGTACTTGGGATGTCGTGCTTTTGATCCCATGGGAGACTCAAACCTTTGATCCCAGCACGTGGACGGCTCATGTCTATAGTGATATTTCATTTGTATTTTAATAAATAAAGCTTGCCTAAAGATCAGAGAGTAAAACAGCCCCACTGGTCAGCCTTACAGATCAGGTAGTGGTGACACGCGCCTTTAATCTTTAATCCCAGTAACCACACTAGTTGGCCACAGAAACCAGGCAGTAGTGGTGCACTCCTTTAATCCCATCCCTTGAGAGGAATGTAAGACAGGAGAAGACAGCTCTCAGACACAGTCTCATTCCTAAGATTCCTGGAGGCAGGCAGAATTGTCATTTTTGGACTGAGGTAGAGGTAAGAGCCAGTAGCTAGTATTTTGCTTTTCTGACCTTCAGGTTGAAGCCTGATATCTGTCTCTGGGATTTTATTAATCAAGCTACACATGCCTTTAATCCCAGCACTAGCAAGGTGGATGCTAGGATGTAAGGCGGGTGGAGACAGGATCGCCACCCATTCATCTGAGGTTTTGTAGAGACAGGATCTCACCCCCCCTCCCCCGCAGTTTGGTCTGAGATTTCGTAGAGGGAAGAAGTCTCTAGTTGCTGGCTGCTCTGCCTCACTGATCTTTCAGCTTCCAACCTGATATCTGACTCCTGCTTTTTATTTATTAAGGTTTTTATTTAATAAGATTAATTAGTATTAGACTTCATATGTATATGCATTTACCCTCCACATACATCATACAGTTAAGGTGTTTGAGATATCTCTACATAATTTTACTTATAGATAAGCATTATAGCATATTATATATAAACATCATAGCATGTTATAAATATCCAATGTTTAATTGGATATAGATGCTGTTGCGTATCCATTTTGGTGATCTGGGGTAGTGGATCAGTGGTTAAGAGCACTCATTGCGCTTGTAGACCTGGGTTCTGCGCCCCCTTGTTTCACAAGCTTCTGTAACTCCAGGTCCAGGGGTCTAATGCCATCTTCTGACCTCCACGGCACCAGACAGATCTGTGGTACACATACATTCATGCAGGCAAAATGCTCTACACATAAATATTTTTTTTCTTTGAGACAGGGTTTCTCTGTGTAGCCCTGGCTATGCTGGCACTCACTAGTAGACCAAGATGGCCTTGAACTCAGAAATCCTCCTGCCTCTGCCTGCTGAGTGTCGGGATTAAAGGTGTGTGCCAACTCTGCCTGGCTAAATATTTTTTTCAAACTGTATCTTTTGACATCTACTAAATAGTTATTCAAATCTATACACACCTAAGGCATAGCTATGGGGTAGAGCTCTTGTCCCACATATGTTAACTAGGACCTCAAAATAATAATAATTGCCCTGAATGGAAAATAAGAAGAGCTTGAGGGGGCTGGAAAGGTGGCTCAGCAGTTAGCAATGCTGGCTGCTCTTCCAGAGACGACCAGGTTCCATTCCCAGCATCTGCGTGCTGGCTCACAGTCATCTCTACATCCTGGCCCATGGGATC